TGCAGCAGGACTGGGACCGACTGCCAGAGCACTGAGGCCTCCAACAATACAGGGCTCTGCAGGACAGTGTGGAGGGGAAGGAAGCGGAGGCCACGCAGGAGAAGGGCTGCTGCTTCCTGGCAGTGCTGCTCTGCTGGGGCTCTTTTCTGGCCCAGCTCTGCACAGAGGCACTGACCCTGCAGCTGCAGAGAAGTCAGAGAGGAAAGATATCAGGCAAACAAGTCAATGCAGAGTTCTTTATTTGGTTTAAGCACACAGTGAGTACAAGTCCCAATTTTTACAGCCTGTGGGCAAGGCTAGAATGGCCTACACTGATATATATATATATATAAATCTATCTATCTATCTATCTATACCTTTATATATATATTTTTAATAAGATTTTTTGATGTGAACAAATTCTCACAAACATAACACCCCTACCAGGAGCAAAAAATAGAGAAGATATGGTGGGCGTTAATGAAGCACAGAACACAATTGGCCTTTAATGAGGTGCATAACATGCAGAAGAAGGAGAGTTTATTGCTTCTGAAAAACACACAGTTAAGAGTTTCCTCTGGGCATCCTTGAGCTCCTGGTTCCTCAGGTTGTAGATGAGGGGGTTCAGTGTTGGAGACACCACTGAGTACACAACTGACACAATCAGATCTAGGGATGGGGAGGAAATAGAAAGGGGCTTCAGGTGGGCAAATGTGCCAGTGCTGAGGAACAGGGAGACCACAGCCAGGTGAGGGAGGCACGTGGAAAAGGCTTTGTGCTGTCCCTGCTCAGAGGAGATCCTCAGCACAGCCCTGAAGATCTGCACATAGGAGAAAACTATGAAAACAAAACAATCAAATGCTAAACAGGCACGAAACACAAGAATCACAAGTTCCCTGAGGTAGCCTGAGTGTGAGCAGGAGAGCTTGAGGATGTGTGGGAGTTCACAGAAGAACTGGCCCAGGGCATTGCCCTGGCACAGGGGCAGGGAAAATGTATTGGCTGTGTGCAACAGAGCATTGAGAAAGCCAGCAGCCCAAGTAGCTGCTGCCATGTGGGCACAAGCTCTGCTGCCCAGGAGGGTCCCGTAGTGCAGGGGTTTGCAGATGGCAACGTAGCGGTCGTAGCACATGATGGTGAGGAGGGAAAACTCTGCTGACATGAAGAATAGAAAGAAAAATGCCTGTGCAGCACATCCCTTGTAGGAGATGGTTGTGGTGTTATGGAGGGAATTGTGCATGGCTTTGGGGACAGTGGTGCAGATGCAGCCCAGGTCTGTGAGGGAGAGGTTGAGCAGGAAGAAGCCCATGGGGGTGTGCAGGTGGTGGTCACAGGCTACGGCGCTGAGGATGAGGCCGTTGGCCAGGAGGGCAGCCAGAGAGATGCCCAGGAAGAGCCAGAAGTGCAGGAGCTGCAGCTCCCACCTGTCTGCGAATGCCAGGAGGAGGAACTGGGGCATGGAGCTGCTGTT